TATATAACTAATCATCAAGCTAATTACATTTCCCGTGCATACTTTCTCTATTTTGAAATTAATTTAACACATCTCATTTAGTCCACTCTGAAGTACCTAAAATGCCATTTTAAAACCAACTTTAAATCCTAGCCACTCACAGTCGTCTCTCTCTTCCTCTCTCAACTCTCAGATTCAAATCCCGCCTCCACAGATCTCCAACCGGCGAAGTTGCTTCCCGGAGTTATAACTACTCCCTCCGGTGGTCGGAATTCGATGGTTTAGCTATCGTTGGATTCCTCTCATCGGGCTTTTTTTTTTTTTGTGGTGATTTCATTCTGTTTGGAGGGGTGGATCTGATCTCTGTTAAAAAAAATTCAGTCGGTGCGTATTTCGACGACGGTGGGTCTTGCTAGAGGTGTAATTTGTATTCCGACTGGCGGAATTTGACGGGCTATCCATCGTTGGATTCCTCTCGTCGAGATCTATTTTTAGATCGTAATTTTGTCAATTTTTTATCGTCATATTTATTTCTATTTTTTTTTCATTTGTGAGCGCGGAACCTTGGGTGGTTAGCGGCAACTAAGTTTTGATAGGATGCGATTGGGGTGAGGAGGCATTGGCGGTTTGGTCTAATATTCGTAGCATTTCGCAGCTATGGCCTCTCTCTCTCTATCTCTCGATCTCGTAGTGTTTGTTGATTTTTGAGTGTTTTATGTTTCTTCAATTTTTGTTTATTTGCACTAAAATATCTTTTTTTTTTGTTTTGATTTTGCAGTTGTGCAGCTTAATGAAAGTCATTGATCATCTCCTTAAATGTGTCAAAAATTTGGTTGAAGTTACATATGCTTCAACTTACAGTGTCCAACAATCTGTATACATTATTGTATATTACTATACATTACTAGTTACATACAGTACATATAGTTACATATATATATTTGTATACTTTTGATTTGTATTTTATTGATTCTGAGGTTATTTATATATATTATTTTAATTGAACATATTATGAATTACCAAAATAGTATTTCTTTAAGTAAAGTATTAAGATTGTCCCACTGATCTGTTGTAGATGGTAAGTTTTAATCTTTCTAAAGTTAATTATTTATATTTTCAAGATTTTGGCGATGTTCTCTTTTATAATTATTTTGATATTGTCTCGAACTTTAGATTTTTTTTTTTTTCATGAAGTATGTCTGATTTATTTTTTGTATAATTTACACAAATTTTATATTCTATTAATAATTTAAATGGTAAATGAATTCATGTTTTATCCGACTACCGATGTTAATTGGTATGGTACTTCGATCAACTTTTTGAATGAGTTAGGCAGAGTTATGATTTAACTACGTCAAATGGTAACTAGGGGCGAGTCCACCCAAGGACTAGGGTGGACTCAAGCCTCCCTCACTTCAAATTTTTTCTCTACTATATATATAGTGTGTTTATACTATATATATATATATATATATATATATATATATATATATATATATATATATATTATTTTATTCGGTTACTTTTACTCTATTTAAGCCAATTTATTCAAAGTCCCCTCAGTTCTCAAAGCCCCCTTCATGTCTGACTAGTCTATATTTTCTATTTCCCAACTTCGTTCTCGTTCTTTGAAAAAGGAAAAAAAAACTTTGTTTTATTATATAGTTGTACTAATGGCCGGTTAAATAGCTACCCGCAACTGATCAAACGCACGATCAATTAACGTTTGACGTCTTTTCTTTCATCTTAATTTTCATAATGAATATTAATTAAAAGTCCATTGTGTAAATTTCATAATCGAGTTGATATTGATGTTTCTTAGACTCTTATAGCAATTTAACTTTTGCGATTCACTTTGGTATTATTTTCAGAATATTGAAAATGGAGGAAAAACAATTCATATTAAATTTTTATCTTACCTTTCTTTGATAGCAAAAAAAATTTCGAGGGCTCTGCTCTCGAACCCCCGATATGTTTAAGCCCCCCCTCACAACTTTTTCTGGCCTCGCCACTGATGGTAACCGTTCTCGTATTTCATAATTTTCGTTGGAACCTGCTCCACCGCAATTCCTAGGTATAGCTAGCCTAATGCAATTTCATGTGTACTTACAACATAATTAAATAAAGATACGAAATTAATTAATGAAACAAATGCCGTATGAATTAAATTATATGATTACGTAAGTATGAAGACTGTGCCTATAAATTTGATTGCAAAATAGAAACTCAAAATCAAATAAAAATAAAAATTCGCTAAAAATATAATACAATATAATAAATAATAATGTTTTCTGTGCAAGTTGGCTTCAATCTTTGCATAGGCAATGGCTGGAGTTATGCTCTGAGGAACCACAGAAGAACAGCCACACGCTGTAATTCCCAGGTTTCTGTCCAAAAGACAATATATTATTAAATTATGCGTACATGTATTTTGTGAGATACATATATATAATAGGCTTAATTTCACTTTGCACCCTCAAAATATACCATTTTACCACTTTGCACCCTTGAAACATGTTTAATTGTTCAAATTGCATCCTAGTTTATTTTCCGGCCAGAATTTCCGTCGTTGAACCTAATTTATGATAGTCAACAGAGTCATTTTTGCTCGAAAATCATTACCAATATGGACCTTGAAGAAAAAAATAATTGAATAGACAAAAATGACCATGTTGACGACCAGAAAATTGGTATATTTTGTCAAATTGCTATTAATTAATAATTATGTTGAACTGATAAATGATGATCCCGCAGTGGCATTACATAAAATGTGCATATTTTTACTCAAAATTTTGATTTTTTTTAAGTGAACTAGTTGGCAGGTATAAACCATCAACCGACCCACAAAGGTTGGGTCAACAACGGTTTTCAAACTTGAGCAAAATTGGTTTATTGGATGAGTTGATTTTTAGGCTGGTAATCTACCGACCCAACCCAACCCAGTCTCAGCCCTAGTTAAATATTTTTTAAGTACGACGTCGTATAATAATCAGAGTGCATTATTTATTACATGCATGCATGCAGGAAAAAACCACTACCACAAAAATGGAACCTAATGAACTTCCTCCGTTGGTTAGAGCACTAAAAGCATCTGCAGATAGAAAGCCAGCAGCTTTTCACTTTCCGGGCCATAAACGAGGCGAAGCCGCCCCGTCAGCACTGAGCGAACTCATCGGCAAAGACCCATATCTCCACGACGTCACCGAGCTTCCGGATCTGGACAGGTTTTTCAACCCGAAGGGTCCGCTTCTCGAGGCCAAGAACCTGGCGGCGGAGCTGTTCGGAGCAAAAGAAACGTGGTTTCTAGTTGGCGGCACTAGCTGCGGTGTTCAGGCGGCCGTCATGGCCACGTGTTCGCCCGGTGACACGATTATCCTCCCCAGAAACGCCCATGTCTCCACCTCTACTGGCGTCATAGTTTCCGGCGCCCTCCCGAAATACATTGTTCCAAAACACAACTCCGACTGGGATGTTGCCGCAGGAATCACGCCTTTGCAGGTATGTACGTACGTGCAAATGGTTGTTAAATCGTAAACCAAATCGCAAATCGATTAATGAAAAACTCAAATAGTAAATCGAAATGAATCGTATATTATATAGTGTAATAACAAAAATCTATATATGGCTTTTAGAATTTATGAAGTGAAACTATAAAAACTTATCTTCATCCTTTATGATCGAAATTCAATAAGTGTTTTAACAAAATTTTCAGCACGATAAAATCAAAAAGTCATAACATCTATATCAATTATCATATTCAACAGTAGATGAGGAGCAGATGGAATGCTTAGAGTATCTCCATTCCCTGAGAAAAGGATCTTGTCAATACTACATAAATGATCTTTGAATCAAAATACTATATTGTGATTTTCATTTAATGCTTATTTTAATAGTATTTTAAGGGGAGAAACTGTTGATGACAAGAACGTATTAATCAAATTAACTATTAATTATATTTAAAGTCTAATATTCTTTTCATTGAATTTTATCATACAAAATAGACTAAACTTAAATTTCATTAAATCCTAAGAATCGAATAAAAAATCGTTAGACTTACTAGATTTTTTGACATTTGAGATTCCATCATGGATTTGAATCGAATTAGCAAGTACATTAATCCCTATTATATTTTTGTGTAGAAAGTTATAAAAATCTCATGTATAATTAATAGCATTATGGGCCCTAATAAATATTTTTAATTCATTCAGCCCTCAAATTTAAAATCCTGGCTCCGTGAATGTTTTTTACAGGTGGAATTGGCGATTAAAGAATCGAAAAACGAAGGCCGCAAACTGGCGGCCGTTCTAATAACCTCCCCCACCTACGAAGGCATTTGCAGCAATCTTCGCGAGATATCAGAAATTTGCCATTCTCACGGAATCCCTCTCATAGTCGACGAAGCTCACGGAGCTCACCTAAAATTCCATCCCGACATGCCGGAGACGGCACTCGAACAAGGCGCCGACATCTCGATACTATTCTCACACAAAGTCCCTCTGGTCCTTGTCACAATCATCCATGATCCACATTTCTCGGTTCAGAAAC